GTTCGGAATAGTGTTCAATATGATATATATATATATATATATATATAATATCTGTATGCATATATTGATCAATTGATTTCTGTTTAAAATGAACTCTGTGCAAGTATGTCAAAATTGTTTTTGTAGATTTATTTAATAATGTCTTTGGCCTGTAAGCAGCTGACGAGAAGGCAACGAAATAAAAGATGGTACCAATTTATTCTGCTAAAACTGTAGTTCTTGCTTTACTCAAAACTCTATTAATCTTCCATATTATTATTCTTTTTCCCTGAAACAGCTGTTTATTATTTCTATTTTGAACCCCCTCTTTACTCTCTTCTCTTATTCTGTGTGCTACACGAATGTAGTTTAACAGTTCGAACTCCTGCACATCTGTGCAAAGTTCTATATTGGAACCAATCAGTCAGTCAGTCACAGCCTGATCGATTGACTTACCCTTCTTACCTAATACCATACAATTAACCTCAGTATTGATCTCCATATCACACTACTTAACCCGGAAAAAGTCTTAAACATATGTGATCAAAGACAGCTAGTCTTTTCATAATGTAATTGTACTCTACTGCAGTATCCTAGTTTCTTATGTAAAGTTAATCTGTAATTTCCCTCAGCAATTCTAATGCATCTTTACAAAATTACAACAGGCTTAAATTTTCCAGCTCGTGGTACCGTAAATTCACTCCAAAATTTATGATTAGTAATATGTGAATTTTTATGTTGATATCGTACTAAGCAGTAAAGTTTGTGTACTAGATGTACAATTCAATCTCACTAACATGTTTTCATGAGAAGATATACCACTGATTGTTTTTGATTGGACACCAGTCAGTAACTAGTGTTATGTGTGTGTAGTCCTTCGTTTGGTGCAGACTGAATTCTATTAGTCCGATTTGCAATGTAGCCACCATGCCACTAGGTGGCTCGGCATCACGGTGCACTGTGAATTGTTTGTATTACATGGTTGGAGGCAATCGGCAGGAAGCCTTCCACCTAGGTTTTGTGCCAGTTGTCACTTATCAGTCAGCAAGGTGTATCAGCAGCCTCCTTGAAGGAACTCATGTTCCTTCTGAGATTTGACTTGACACATTCGGTCGGTCGGTCGGTTTTCGACATAGAACTTTACACATATGTGCGACAGTTCAAGTCGCCACACTCCCTCCATGTAGCACACAGAGCAAGAGAAGAAAGTAGAAGAATGCATAATATAGACAGTAAACAGAGGTGTGAGACAAAGGAATAGTAATAACGGAGAACAAAACAGTTTCATTGGAAATCATAAGTCACAATGAGTGGATGCATCTGCGCCACTGAGAACGATTTTGAGCCATATCACCAATTGTTTCCAACCATTGGTTTTTACCGTCCCGAGGACCCCAACCGGTCAGGAAGTCTACACCTTCCTACGTGGCTTAGACTAACTGTTGTAGATTTCATTGACTGGTGCCATGTTTTGGTTTGACCGCCGCTCTTTTCCAGCCTGGCCCTACATCAGCTAACATTGCCCGTCGACGAAGGCGATGACTAGGCATACGTAACACATGTCCTAATCATCTCAGTCGATGTAATTTCACAGTTTCGTCGATTGATTTCCCCGCCTTACCTAGCACTCGACGCCTGACCTCAATATTGCTCACCACTTCACGCGGGAGATAGAACGCAGACACCTATGATCGAAGACAGCTAATCTTTTCATGTCTTCTGCTCTCAATGGCCAGGTCTCACAGCCATAAAGGAGGACGGAGCGGACTGTTGAGCAGTACACACGCCCTTTGGTCGATAGTCGGATATCACGTCTACGCCAGAGACGGCGTAAACTGGCATATGCGAAACTAGCCCTCTGTATTCGTGCTGAGATTTCGTAAGAGATCAACCTGTTGGGGCTGATGGTACTTTTCAAGTAAGTGAAGCGGTCAACGTGCTCTACCACTTCACTTCCTATTTCTAATCTAGGGGTCGGTGTAGTCCAATCCTGCAACATCATCTTACATTGTACAGGGGCGAATCGCATGACAAACATACGAAGATTGTTGCTCAAGGTGTTCAGTAGACTGCATTTTGTCGGCGTCCTCGCCTAGAAGGACTATATCGTCTGCATATTCTAAGTCGACGAGATTATTCCCTGGTAGCAAGTCAATCCCTGAGTCGCTGAAGTGTGTTAGGGTTAAGTCCATTAGTACGTCTATGATTAAGTTGAATAGGAATGGGGATAATGGGCATCCTTGACGGACGCCACTAGTCGTCACCACTTCAGATGACAACTTGCCATAAGCCCTCACCTGGCTGCATGAGTATGAGTAGAGTGCCTTAATCAGTGTAATGTATTTTCTCGGCATTCCCTTTACAGCCAAGCATCGCCAGAGAACCTCTCGGTCGACAGAATCGAATGCCGCTTTTAGGGACTTGACACATTACACTAGTTACTGACTAGTGTTCAATCAAAAATATCCAATACAGTCAGTCCTGTAGGAGGTCAATCGCGAGCCTAAATAGCTCAGTGGTGGTCATCTTTTTGACTGCAGGCAGCACTGGGTGACGCGGGTTCGAATCTAAGAAGGGACATGAGTTCCTACGAGGTTGCAGATACGCCTTACTGATGAGTACCAGCTAGCACGAAACCTAGGTGGAAGGCTTCCTGCCGATTACCTCCAACCATCAATCAAGACTACTGATTGATCGAGTTGAGTAGTTAAACACCATTCATATCAACTAGTAGTGTTAACTAACATGTTCCTTAAAGATGAATGATAATAACCGGCTGTTCAGAATAAAGTCATCCTATTAAGGTGTGGCGTGTGCTGCTCTATTATGTAGAGATGCAGAATGATAGGAATGGAGTATAAAATAATTGAAGTCAACACATTTTAGGTCAATGGCGTCTGGAGAGGCAAATAGAAGCATTTATTCCTCAAATCTGAATTTAGCTTACGTTATGGTCATGAAATAATCTCAACTTGTGGAAAATACCCATCGGAAAGTTCATCAAAGATCGTGATCTTTTCGGCGATTTCATTCTCAAAAGCAGCTGTACAATCGCATTATATACATTAGTTTACATGGATACAATTATTATTTATTTAATTCCACATAATAACGAATGAGAATAATTAATTTTCAACTTGGTGTAAAAGTTTGGAGGTACGAATATAGATTACAAAGGGCTAGGAGACAATATTGTATAGGGTTAGAAAACATTTACAACGTATACAAAATTAATATTTGATAACTGGAGAAATAATTTTAAAGGCGAATAAAAGGTGACAATTATTTTCAACTTGTTATGAATTACAAGAGGCTTAGAAACAAAAGTTGCGCAGGGATAGAACGAATTACAGGTGTGAACAAAATGAGCATGGAAACAAATTGAAATCAAAATTTTCAACTTGAAATGTAAGTTAGGAGAAGGTGTGAATATAGATTACAAGAGGCATAGAAACAAAAAATTACACAGGATTAGAATATAATTGTAAAATGGTTTATTCTAAACGGATTACAAGTATGAGCAGCAAGAGGAGCATGAAAACAAACCTAAAATAACTGATTTTGATAACTGAAAAAAATGGGATGAATTGAATGAAGACAAAGAGAGAAAATTACACATACAGAGAACAAAAATAACTGGGGAATAAGGAAACATACCGAACTAGGTCCATGGTAGTTGTAAAGGCTGGACTAGTTTCTTTTGTACACATAGCTCCGGGGTTTTTCGATGCCTATGTCGAGAGCTTCCGCAGTACAAACACACTGCCTTTGGTAGATTTTTGTTTTAACTGATTAAAAATGCCCATTAAAATTTTCAAAAGAATAGACACGGAACAAAGAGTACTCTTTTCGATAAATTCATCATCAGGTTCTACAATTATATATACATTATAATGAATGAATGAATTAGTCTTATGAACGACATTAATGCTGTTTAAATAACATCAAATCAATAATATTGATAAATTACAGCTGAACAGCATCAACATAAAATAAACTGAATGTCAGAAGAATTAGGAAAGGTAATAGTACAAATTCATGAGTTTATAGTCTCTACTGAGGGCCAGCCAGGGCAGTAGTAGGGGCTGGACTTGTTTCTTTTGGACACAGAGCGCTGGTTGTTTGAGGCGAATTGCAATAGCCTCTGCTGTTTGGAGTATGCGGTGCTTCGAGGATTTTGGTAGTTTGTTAGGCACCCAGTATATTATGGAGAAGGATTCTTCAACGCTGGCTTTGTGGCTGGTTTGCACCAGATGGTCTAAAATCGAGCTTTTAATAGTTTTAACTACACCTTTACTTAGCCATAGTGGGATATGTTCTCGAGTGAGCACGAAAAATCAAGTTCCTAGAGCAACGGCCAACATAACTCGCTCCATAAGCGCAGTTGAATTGATAAATACAATTTGAAGTGGCTAGTCCAGGTACTTCATCTTTCAGTCGAGGTAGTACCATCGGTCTTGTAGAGAATAATACGTGTAGTTCGCCAGCATTAAAAGTTATTTGAACTGATTTTCTTAATTTCTTCGTAATTAACTCGCTTGGTATATCACCCATGAATTGTAGTCGTATATAAAGTGGCTTCTTGTTTACAGATAGTGGGTAGTCCTTTTGCGCTTTCTTTGTCATATGTTTCTTGATAAATTTGTCAGGATAACCATTTTCGATTAAAGTATCATATACAATGCTTAATTCATCTTCAATTACTTCTTCAGAGCATATAGCTCTAACTCTGTGGCTGAGGGTCTTCACTAAATTCCTTTTGTAATTGATGGGACTGTGAATGACGGAGAAGTCAGTTGAGATGCTATGACAGGTATTGACGAGGTGTTCAGTAATTGCGCTCAACTTGAACAACTTTTCATCCCATTGCGTGAATCACCAACCAATCAGAACAGTTTATTGTCCTATGACCTAAACGCTATTTTATGTGTTTAAAAATATATAAGCATGACTGACGCGTTTTTCCTTAAGTGATATAGTTCATTTCCGATTCTCTTATCCTTCTGTCATATTTTTTATAGGTCTTGAATAATGGATGAAGAACAGTTCAAATTTAACTTCCAATTAGAACAAATTGTAGAAGAATGGAAAACATTGGACGATGGAGAAGAAAACTCACTCCACAATGATGAGGAGAATGAAGATCAAGGAGATGATTCCAATGCTGTTAGTCAAGAATCATTTTTTGCCCCTCATTATAAAGATGGAATTGATTATTTTACAATAACTAATCCGGAGAAAGTGAAACAAGAATGGCTTGAAGCTAGAAAGTTGATTATACCACATATTCAAAATGTTGTCAAACATTTAGTTCGAGAGAAATTTCAGAAATAAATTTTGATGTACAGAAAAAGTGTGTTTTCAGTGTGTGACGAGGGGACCTATGATTCTACCTATCTCGCTATACAAAACACCCTGTAGACATTTTTAATCTTGTAATAAGACAATCCAAGTTTGTCTAAAGCTGTTATAGCAAAAATATTCATTCAGACATCTATAAAAAGCAAAACAATTGAGCAAAGAATGTACTTCTCGATAATTTCTTTTTCTGGCTCTACAATCATATATATATATATATATATATATATGTTTGTATACATAGAATCTTCTAGAATAGTAGTCAATAACCATATTGGTGTTTTTTAAATACTATCGATTTGTAAAGTAAGACCACTGGAATTACCGCTCATTAAAGATGCTTAAATTATAATTATAATAATAGTAGCAAATAGAATATCAACTAAAATTAGTGAAATTTCTACAAAAAGCATTAAGGATCATTCAGACCTAGATGGCCAAGGTAAGGATAATGTCTGAACTAGCTTATTTCAGACGCATAAATTAGGCTTCTTGATGTGGATTCCAACGGTCTCGTCGGATTTTCGAACATCACCCTATGCGGTCAAGTGAAGGACAAACAAAATCTATTCGTAGCGCTATTCTGTCTCATCTTGTGGATACAGAACACAAGACTGATGTCAACGAGGCTTTCAAAGTCATTGACCACATACCAAAAAATCTTAACTTCGCCTTAAGAGTTCGTTTACTACATATTTCTGAGGCCGTAGGAATCCACATTAAGAAGCCTAACTTATGTGGCTAAAAGAAGCTAGTTCAAACATTATCTTTACCTTACTTACTTAACTTAACTTCGGCTATCTCCTACGGGAGGATGAGCCGGCTTCATGAACATCTCGAATCATCGCTGCCCAGGCGCGGCGATCTGATGCGACGTAAGAGAGTTCACGAAGTTTCATGGGAATTTGGTACGAATGATGTCCCCAGAATCGCTCGGCCTTTTGTTTGAGAGTGCAGCTCTAGCCTTTACACAACCAAGTGTGACCTACAAGGCAGTAGGGGTGGAGTAAGGAGTCCTCTATCCATTGGCAGCCGGTGACCGGTGTTCGGTTCATACGCCTTTTTGAATGGGGCCAGACATCCAACAAGCCCTTTGTCCATACGTCTACCGGTGAGCTCCAGTGAGTTTCATACGCCAGTCGTTGGAGGTTTTGAATCAGGGTTTAGCCATCTCCCCTAGACTGTCATCCAATGGACAGTCAACCCGGTGAAGAGCGCCGGGCATCCGCTTTCGCCCTCTCACTTTGGTGAAAAACACCTCCGCCACGTGAAGGCAGTGAGTAAGACTTCCTCAGGAGAGGCTATGTAAGACGCCCGGTCATATGGGAGCATCTCAAGAGGTGTGCGGAGGGGTGGCCAACCCGCAGCGCAAGGCACCCACCCCCGACCATCCTGAGGCTATCTAGGTTTGAATGACCTTCAATTTTTGTGGAAATCTACCTAATTTTAGTTAATATTCTATTTGCTATTATATTATTTAAGCATCGTTAATGAACTGTAATTCCATTGTGATCTTACATAACAAATCGATATTATTTAAAAAACATTAATATTGTCAATGACTATTGATCTAGAATATTCTATGTATATAAACACATATATCTAATTGTAGAGCCAGAAGAGCAAATTGTCGAAAAGTATGTTCTTTGCTCAATTATTTTGTTTTGCATAAAGCTGTTATGTTTGACTATTGTTCTCAGTGTTAGACATAGTTAATGGATTTTGCCTTTCTACTGGGAAGAAGACTGCCAGGAAAAGTTTTTTTATTTTTGATTACAGCTTGATTCCACACCGTATTTTCGGTAGAAGTATGGAATTTTCAGCACGTGATACCGGTAGCCCAAATTTCGCAGGCCGACCATAGATATCAGGTTTGCGTCGGCAAGGAATCGAACCCCGGACCATGTGCATGGTCGGCGAGGGTCCTAACCACTGTGTCACCGATAGTCATATTAGTGAGTTGCAGAAATATATATTATCTTAGTATTAACACTCCAGTGAAGTTCTTATACTGTTATTCAATCGAACAATACAGTGTAACTTTGACTAATTTACTGCATAACTGATCCAGTGTAAATGTTGCACAACTAAGTGTACTGAATTATAATTTCCACGCTTAAAGTGTGTATATATTAGTGAATGCCTATAAAGAATATGTTCTCTGCATGAAAAGGAAAGATCTGGAGAGATTGCTAACTAAGGATTATCTAAGCCTTCAAAAGTTCAATTACCAGGCATCTCCTTGATACAGGTCATAAGATGGATATCATGAAGTCCTTTGAAATTATCAATAGACAGAATAGTTTAATTCTCCTCAAGTTTCCTGAAGCAGTTTCTATTAAACGCCTGAAACCTGATTGTTCTTCCAGATTACTATTTTTTTTGCCTCATATTTCTTTTTATCTTCTCTCTTTTGCTTCGTGTGCTACATGGAGGGAGTGTGGCCACTCGAACTGCTGCACATCAGTGTAAAGTTCTACGTTGAAACCAATCAGTCAGTCAGTGAAACCCAATTTATTTGTTAAGAAAAATTCGTTATCAGTTCGTCTTTGACATGGTCACCGGGTGTCTTTATTCTCTCTGTCCCCTTCACTATAATACACCTTTGCTTGTTTCTATGATTTGACTTGAACTTATCAGATTGTTACTCATTTTGATTAGTTGCTCATCATCTTATTCCCCTTTTGGCTTTATTGCGTAACACCTTTACCATTGTATGCCAGCATTTATTTCTGTTTAAGCTTGAACTTTCTGAGCGTAAGCCGTGTAATTGTAATTTTCTGAGCAGTGTTCATTAAGTTTGAAATCTTCTGTCACTAACTGACATTATGTAACATTTGCAAGTATGTGTTAAAATTGTTCTCTACATAAACTTAATTCATCGCTTTAGGCTCTACGTGGTTGGTGAGAAGCTGACGAAATAATGGCTGGACATGCGTTCGTAACACATGTCCTAACCATCTCAATCGATGTAACTTCACAGCCTCTTCTATTGATTTCCCCTCTTTACCTAGCACTCAACCGATGCCTAACCTCAATATTGCTCACCGTATTATACCACTTCACACGAGAGATAGAAACGCAGGCACCCAACGTCATCCTATATCACTTCACTTTGCTCTTGGAGGAATGAGATAGCTAGATATGTGTAATATATGTCCTAGCCATTTCAATCGATCTAGTTTCACAACCTTTTATCAAATAACTTTCCTTGCTTACCTGACCTCCTCAGGTACTACTCACCCTATTAATTATACCACTTAACACGAGAGATGAAATGCAAATATCTATACTCAAAGACAACAAAGAGCATTCTGTATGTATGTCGAATTGTCTGTTATACAATTGAGACACGATAGTCAACTTTACTCATCATTGGTGGTGATGCATAGTTATTTCCCAGCCACCCCCTTCTCACCAAAAGAATAAAAACGACTTTCAGTATGTATATTTGCAAAAGTATTGTATTTCTAAATCCATCGACTCTAAGAAAAAAACAGACTATCACTCATAATAAACATGCGAGTAGAAAATACAGTTGACTAAGATGGAGGAGATACAGGGGTAGTGGAGGGGTGCATATTATCCTACGGACTGAACTACACATACAAAAATGGGAGTTATAATGTGCTATCATCATCTCACACAAAAAAGTATGTTCTAATTACACTGACATTACAAATGTCCAGAATTAATAGAACAATACGCTCCAACCAACACAGTGAGCATAACTACAGGCAAGTGGAACAGTGTAGCTCGAAATAGACGTCTTGCTGCAGCCGACGATGCAGAGCACTTTGCATCACTGGATGAATCTGTATAGGCGAATTTCCAAGCATAATAAATTAAGCCAATATTGGCTGGTAATGAGCCTATGCCTAGAGCACAACCAGCCCATGGGCCTAAACTGATCGCACTACATCCAGCACCGGCTAGACAGACTAAACTTGAAGCAATGGCATGCCGCAATGCGACACGTTTACACATATCCGGATCAACTATTGATGTCATTGTATAACCAGCTTTTGAGTATTCTCCACGCATATTCCAACTGAGTGCCATGAAATGTGGGAATTGCCATACATAGAGTAAACTGGCTAGCATTATAGAACCTAAAAATAAGAAAATAAAACACAAATAAAAGGACCGATATATGCAATAGGAAGATAAACGTTAGTTACTTTGTTATGAAACATGACACAAACTTTTCTCTCTAAACAACATTGCAGATTGACTTTCGGTAACTCAGACAAAAGGAGCATTAATGTTGTGTGAAGGTAGAGCCCAAGGGATGACTGTTCGATGCTGCATTTGGCTTTTGGAGTCGCGTCCGTATTAATATCTTACCACTGGCTAAGAACCGCCACTTCAAGATGAGTCGGGATGTAAGAATTTCGCGGTCAACCTTTTCTGAACCCTTCCACCCGTCATCAGAGAGGAGAGGCAGTATTGCAGACATGCTGGTCATTATCTGAGGGAAACACCTTATTTCTGATAAATCCCTATTCCCTACCCCCCTAAAAGGTACGACTTCGCCAACAGGTTACTTACACTATGGCAGTGCCTGCTTTTAGTCTAATAGCTATCCAAACAACCTTTCTTTCATGATAGTACCTACCAAGAAAATTCGTTCCGACCAGTGTAAAATCGTCTGGTCATTGAGAAGTGCAAGGTAGCGTCTATCGGTCAGGATTCACATAGTGATACACCCACTGACTGGGCAATTATACATCGGTTTTCAGGAGGATCGACAGGTATTCTCATGAACTTGTAAGAGATTGAACGTTTCTCAGTTTCGTCACAACATTCACACAAATTGAATCATATACAGCAGTTCAATGTGCTCCTATTGTTATTACTATTATTCCCATGGGTTCCTAATGGGAAATTCCGCTTCGACAGCACGCGTCTACATTTCAGTCTATTCTCTACAATCCTCTTCAGCTGGCTTCACGATTGTCTATAAGCTTTTGTTT